AGGCATATGCTACATACACCACATGCTTATGTGTATGTATATGTATGTGTATATATGTGTATATGTGTATATATATGTATATATAGTATATGTTAGTGTATATTATATACATTACTAATTATCCAAAACTAGGAAGACCAGTATTAATACTAACATTTTATAAAGGAGAAACTACATTTTTAGTTAAACTTTAGCTGACCCACAACTGTAGTAAATGTCAGAGCCAGGATTACAGCCCTTGAAAGTTCTCCTGTCATATGCCTGTATTTTCTTCTTCATCCTTCCTCCATCTTATGCAGTGAGCATAGAGAGTAAACCTGTGGGGAGCAGAATCCCAGCAGAGAAAGGAAGATTATAGAATAAATATATACAAGTGCCAGATCATGCCCCATCTCCCTATTGTGGTTACTAATAGGATGGGGAAGAACCAATGAAAAAATCAAAAACGGGAATCACAAGAAATAAGTGTGGGATAGTCTTCATACACTGCCAGAGTCATTCATATTTCTTCTTTATATTCAGAGAAAATATCCTGCCTCTTTATACTCAAGCCAGAGTGGCCTTTACTAATGGTACTCACTGTTCCTGAGAGCTGACCTGTGCTGGGGACTTGTCATAGATGATTTACTCTTCACAAGAAACCGCTAAGTTAGCTAATAAGCCACATTGCTGATATTTACTCTTGGGATTTATTTGACTCCCAAATCCTACGCTACAGGATCTCCCAAAGTACTTTTATGAAGAGAAAAATGCATTGGCTATCAATAACAATGTTTACTGCAGAGGCAAAAATGTTTTTCTATCTCAATGACTACTATGATGATTTGTCTTTCTGTCATAGATACAAAGTATTATAATAAATAACTGGCTCTGTAGCAGATTCCAGACCAAGGCCTAATATATGTGATATGTGCCTTAGGCATAAAGTTAGGCCAGGTGGAAAGGTATACATGACTCCTCATGGGGTATTATTTCTTTCACTCTGATGTAGCACAAAAGATTTATGACCAAAACCACAGTCAGAAAAATTACAAAAACAGTTACTGTTATGAATCAGCCCATGAATATTCATTATAATCACTGTACAGTAATCAATTAGTAGTATGCATAGCAAGAACAATATGAAATCTCAAGCTACAGATTGCAGAACTGAATAAATCATCATTTGTAAATGACACAACTAAAGATAATGCATTTTTCTTTCTGGAAATTCATTTTATGATGTATATTAGAATAAATATAAGAAAAAATATATATAAGAAAGGCATAATTTAGACCTTTGTGTCTGTTCCTACAAATATAGGTCAAGTAAAGTATTCATCACATCATTCAATTATACAGTTTCAATATTCGTATTCATTACTTTCTTTGCTTAATATTGAAAGAAAAAGCATGAGCTTGCCAAATTCCTAATGTTTTATACAATGCAGCGGACTTCTTAAAAAGAGTGTTTAATAAATGTTCTCCTCATTTTCTAAATTTACCATTCACAAGATCAAATGGTGTAACATGTTCTGGTAGTTTAAATTGCAAGTGTGATGTTTCCACTGATTGTTACCAGAAAACATTGATCAGGATCAAAAGCTAAAAACAAACTAAACTAGAACTATCAAATGCATAAAATAGAGTAACCATAGTTAAGTGAATTTAAAACTATCACTGCTTAAAAGTTGGATATAATCAATGTCAACCATTTGCTATATCTTTTTTGGAACTGTTTTAGTCATTCATCATTTCATTCTCCTAAATTTCTGACACTTTTAATGAAAGAATGTATAAAAATAACTGGTACTATCTAAAAAGCAGATGGGTTGCTGAACGAACTGCATATGCGCGTGCGTGTGCAGTAAAGGCGGCCGCACAAAAGCACAGGACCCGCACCAGACCTAAAATGGCTGAGTTACCGGATGTTGTTGCTTGGTGACCAAACAGTATCTTCTACATCAAAAAGCAGTCTAAACATCAGTGACAGATATGTCCCCTCAGGTTTAGACACGAGCGGGACAAATATTAAAGGACATATTTATCCTTTCCAGTAGTCAATATTTTTAAGTCAGTTGTAAATTGCTTGATTTTATCATCAGTTAACTCTTCAGGGTGAAGAGAGTTGCAAAGCTGCATCTCTTCTTTTGGGAAAATAAGAGTAGAACCAAGCTTCTTTAACTATGAGACTTAGAGATAGTCTTGTTTCAATTAAGTCTATGTGGTGTGTCTACTCTGTGCTAGTATAACCTCCCAGGTGCCATCAGTCTCTCTTTCTTTCATTAAACTAAAGTAGTTAATTAGCCTCAGCCTGTCCTCTCCCCTTTTCTCTTTCCCTTTTCGCAGTAGTAATGATGTCTAATTATCAGCAGCAGTGGATTACTGCAACATCAGGAGCAAAGCATCTCTTACTGACAGCAAAGCCAACCGCGAACCCTCAAACCTCAAGTAGCTAAGAATGATTCTTAGTAAACACAAAAATATCATTCAAATACAGTATTTTATTTTGACCAATATATGGCTTGGAATTAAGAGAAAATATATTTTTGTCTTCTTGGTGACTGTACTCCTATCATTAGAAAAATCAACATATTGCTAAGGAAGGAATAATTTGAGATGTGGGGAAACACATGATAAAAGGGGGATCCATTATTTATTTTTTAACTCATTGAAATGATGATTGGCTGTCTCTCAAAGAAGGAGGAGCCTATAATTCTATGTCAGGAGTAGTATAAAAATTTTATAAATAGCAATAAAAGAGTTCATAAATTAAAAACCTTAATATTTCAAAATAGGCATGAATGAAAAGCAGAGCTCTTAAATACTACATGGAAACCATTATCTAAGTATCACCTGATAAATTACATTCTCTTCCATAAATATATGGAATCTTTACTGAAAAGAGAAACACGTGTTACTTTATTATCATCCCTGGAGTTGTCACTCTATACTAGATGTCTTAGCAGTAATTCTTTAGCAATTCTGCATAATTTTTGACAGAAAATAGTGGTATATGAATGCACGAATGCTAGTTTAAATAAATGACATTTATGATGATCTTAGTATCTCTAAAATTGTTCTGAATTTATGTTATTTAAAATAGTTTATCTTTTAAAAGTACACATGTTAAGGTAAATAGTGGATGTAGTCAAATCCATATGAGTATAAACTCATTGTACCAATGCCCAAGTGAAGCTATCTGACAGTTCAATAGAGGAACCTAAGTTTAACATAAAAAGGAATGAAAAATAAACTTCCCAACTAGCAGTGTTCCTCTAAAACATATATTATGAAATCATACCTTAAGTAAAGTTATCTTAAATGATTTTATCCATTCAGTTAGCTCAGTATTGTCCAAAAGAAAATACATGTTTATGTTTTGGACTCTAACAAAAAATTATTTTTCTACATTATTTCTTGATATTATTCCCAATACAAATTAATCAAAGCACTTCATTCTGTGTACCAGATTTCTGGCTCATCCAGATGTAAATAGACCTCAGTTCTATCTAATTCATGCCAATCTAGTCCTCATTACTTAGTAAAGCCAGACAATAATCTCACCATTGTCTTTAGTAGTGCCACATGTTAAAGCAGAAGACACATTTATAGATCCATCTCTTAGAAATCTTCCAACAATAGTACATTGTTAAAAAAAAAAAAACCACAGAACTTTAATCTATGTTTCCATTCACCTCTATTTAGTTTCCCAATTTCTATACAAATTCTAAAATAAATGCACATCCTTCAAACAACTATTTCTAATTAATCTCAGGAAACCGTAAATTGATCTCGAAACCTAAAAGAGTCTTCCAAATAATGCTTTTAAAATAACTTTTCATGCACATATTTTCACTTGAATATACCTCCATTAGAGATAGAATAGCTTTCAAGACGTCTCCTTTCTAGCATCCTCCAGGAATACTGCACGGGGAAACAGTTGCCAGTACGGGAGGGGTAAAGGAGGAAATGCTCAAGAAACCCCAAAGCAAGGCAAAAATACAAAGGATGCCAGATAGCCTCCCCCATCCCTACACCAGACGAGTACCCACCGTGGCATGATGCAGAAAGGTCTCGTGCATCAGATCTGCCATCCTACTTGTAGCCCACAGTTCCCATCTTCTTGGGAAGGAATCGACGCTGCCGCCGCTTCCCAGCCCCACCGGCTTCTGCAGCGTGAGGCTGAGATGCACTGGGCTCCCAATGCCAATGCCTCGCGGCCCCTGGGCTACAGAGCTTTAACGCCATGAAACTAGAGCCACCCCAGAAAGAGGGACAAATACACACACCATTCGAACGCGCCCAAACCCATCCCTCTTTGTTGTTCATCTTCTAGCTGCGGCTTTATCTGTGGCTGGGGGAAGTGAGGAAGGGAATGGGGGGCGGGGAGGAGGGCTCTCCAGGACCTTGTCTACAATCTTAACAGTCAAGGCAACGATCTCCGGGAGTGATCGAGGCATTCCGGCTGCCCAGTGCCTCCCGGGTGGAGATTGAACGCTAAAACCTGATAGTGTCCTGGGGAACACCCCACATCCACCACTAGCGCCACATTCGGGCTTTATGCCAGTAAGGAGACGCTGTAGACTATCGATCAGACTCGTCTGCTCTCCTAGCGTGCGGCGGGGCTTGCAGCCTGGCCTTTCTGCGCGGTGGCGGCGTTGGGACACGCGCCAGGCGCCCAGCGAAGGACATGGGACAATGGCCCAGCCCAAGGACGCCAGACGCCGCCCGACCCAGGGAAGGAAGCTCCAGCAGCGGGTCCGAGAGCGCGAGGCGGGGAGGGCGGCCAGCTCTGGAGGTGCGCTGCCGCTTTAAAATAAAGGACCACAAAGACTCCACAGTGGGGAAAACGCGCCTGGCTAATGCGAGTGGGGACGACTTGGGGAGGGGGTTGAGGAAGGTAGGGGGCACACGAGCCAACGGCGGCTCACGGCTCCCCCTCTCTCCCGCCTCTCTCCTTCCTCCCTCCCCGCCGGGCTGCTCCGGAGACAAATAACAGAGGAAGGCGAGTCACTCACCGTGGTCTTGACAGGCACGTAGAGCACTTGCTTGGCGCCGCCGCCTCCCCCGCGGACCTCATCCGGCTGGCCCAGCTGGAAGCCCTTCGATTTGACCCAGAATTTAAATTTGGCGTTGTCCGTGGAGCTCGACTCGGAGCCATTGAGGAGCTGGACGATCCGCTCGTATTTTTTACGGGTCACCGTCTTGGTCTTGCCTGAGTCCCCGTAAGTCCTGAGGCACCAGTCCTGGAACTGGCGGTACATGTCGCGCTCGCTCTCCATGTTCCCGGCGCCCGGCCGCTGGCCGGATGCTCCCAGCTCACTTCGCACCTGTTCACCCTGGGCTCATGAAAAATGCAGCCCCGGCCACGTTGCAGGGACGCGAGGTCCCGGCCGCCGCGGGAGCCTGCCTCGGGTGGGGGAAGGGATGGGGAGAGGGGAGGAGGGTCCAGTTGGGCACCAGCAATCAATGCCCTGTGCTACCAAGTCTGGTCCATTCGTAATTGCAACGGCGGTCTCGGACGCTTTTCCTGTCCTCTTAGCGATCGGTCTCTTTAATACTGTGTGACCAGGACCATCCCAACAGCATTCTGACCCGGAGGAGCTGGGTTTTCAATAATTAAAATCCCATTCCTTGGTTTATTAAAAATGCCAATATTGAATTGGGGTGGTCCCTCGACGCCTCGCCCCCGGGCTGCGTCCGGGGCTGAGCAGGTGGAGCGCAGCGCCGCCTCCCCGCGCGCGCCCCAGAAGCTTCCCCAGCCACTGGCCCCGTGGTCCAGGAGCGAGGGCTGCGCCTCTCCCGAAAGCAGCCGCCCGCCCAGCGCCTGCGAGCCCAGAAGGGCACTCGGGTCCTCGATCTCTCTTTCCTCCTGGGTCCTGCTTCTCTTTGACTTTCCCCAAGACGGGTGTCAAGGGACTAGAAAGAGAGAAAGTTCTTACCTGTCATGTTTTTAAACCTATCAAATCCTATTTCACAGGAATTTTTTTTAATCAAGGTATTTTAAAAAACGGTTTAAAATGTCATTTCTTCAGATACACTTGTAATAAATTCCAGCCCTGCATGTAGATTCTACGAGTTAAGTCCCGAAATTAGCAAAGCAGTGATGGAGATTTGGCCATAGTTCTACAGGATAAATTGTAGTGCCCCAAACAGATATCCGTTCCAGGGGGATGTGGGTAAACGAAGGCAGGCCGCTGGTGGCGGGTCTCCGGGATAATGATGGGACCCCAGACAGGACTCTCCTCTGGTTTCTGCTGAACTGGGTACAAGACATAGAAGTAAGTTTAGGATACAGATGCTTGAAACCCTTTGCAAGAAATTAAAATAGAGACAGATCGTTTTCCCCTTGCTTGGTCACAGTTTGCAGTTCACACGGGAGGTTTCGGTTGTCTATTTTCCCCCTGCCACGTCATGGACACCCCCATCACTGCTCTGAGTAGCCAAATATGAGTTCCTCTGGACGATTTTTCAAGCAGATGAAGTAAGCAGTTGCTCCATTCAGGACTTCCATCCATTTGTTTCCAGAGCTGTAAATAGGGGAGTTCCCATCGTCCTCACGCGGCGGCTGCGGCCGCTCCTCTTTATTCTACTCTCAGCCGAGGCCCGCGCCCGTCCCGGGGAGCGGCTCTGACAGGAAAACGGCCCGACCAGCGCCCGGCCCCTGGGCTGCCTCCGAGCCCACCTTCTTCCCTCGTCGTCGTCTCCTAGACTAAAGCTCCGAAAGGGAACGCGGGATGTTTGCGCCCACCACGCTGCAGCTGGTCCGGGCACTTGCAAAACGGTCAGTGGCTCCTGCTCCGCCAGGCTGAGTGTGTGCGTGTGTGTGAGCAAGGGAGCGAGGGTGTGCGGCGTGCAGGGGGTGCGCTGTGTGTGCGCGCGTCTCCGGGAAGGTCTCGCGGCGGCTGGAGCCGGGACTGACAGCCCGGGCGGAGCGCAGGCAGCTCCACACACTAAACCTCTCGCCTCTCCCCTCACCCCCACCCCTCCCACTCCCCTCTCCTCCCCCCACCTTTCCCGGCTCCTTCCAAGCTCTCTGATTGGCCAATGGGACAAAAGTTTCTGTGGAGACGGCTGGGCGCTGACGTCACAGGCAGAATTGTCCCATTTAGGGATCCCGGGGGCAGTGCGCATGCTGCAGGCTGCAGGTTAGAGGCAGGAGGAGGTAGCAGCGGGCCCGGCGGCAGCCAGGTGGCAGAAAGGAGCGCGCAGCATCCAGGTGGGGGGACGACTCCAGCAGGGTTTCCATGGAGATTCCTCTGGGTCTAGCCTAAAAACAGCAGATCAGCTGACACCATTAGCTCAGGACCTAATTACTGCTTATTGGAGCAACAAATGAGGGAAAGGGCCAGCTGCAAAGGAAGAGTTTTTATCCCCCCACCCCATTCCCCCATCTCCTCCTTTCTCTCCCTCTCTCCAAGGCTCTTGAGTCCCGAGTGAATTCTCATTAACTTGCAAGATTCCTGCAACAACAGCTCCCCTTCTCCAGAGGCCACCCCGACTGCTTTTATTCTTTTATTTCCTTCTTTCGTATTAAAAAAAAAAAACTAAAATAAATCAGTTGTTCGAGTCCTTGAATTTTTGTTCAATGCATATTAGACCATAGAGCTCAGAGAAAACACTGTCCAGTAAGTCACAAGTGAATCTAATACAAGGGACACAGGCGGAAAATATCACTTTGAATTTATTGAATTGAACAATAATCTTTAGATATTTCACATTTTTTAAATCTCAGTATCTTAAATACATATATATATTTGGAACATGCAATTGGACAGAATAATATTTTGAACCACCCTTCTAGAGGGGTATACTTCACAGGAACAACTCTGTTCAAAGTTTCCCTTTGTGGTATCAGAGTTCAATTTAGTTATATTTTGGTCATGTGTTTCCTGGAAGTTTCTGGAAAGATAGTTGGTCCTGGGGTAGTCATTCATTCAAGAATAAGCTGGTTCTATAGATTTCACTTTCTTTTATGGTTATAGTTCACAATTACAGAATTCTTTTCGGTAGCTTTTTATCTGAAAAGGCATCCCACCGCCTCTACGCTTTACTCACGCACCTCCAAAAACTTTCCTTCCTTAACCATTCAACTTGAAATCATCTGACTTTCTTCTATACTCCTCTATATAGTGTCTTTCAAACATTTTTTAACCCTGTCTTGTAGTATGGCCTACACTTTACATTGACGTGTAGTACATACAAATATTTGTCCTGCAAAAATTTTGTGAAACATCTATTTTATTACCTACAATATACACTGATATTTGCATTTTGCCCTCCTATTTATTTGTTATTATTTGGTAAATATGGTCCCAACCAAATAAATTTATTTTATGACCCAGCAAAGAATGACTGGCAACCTACAGTTTGAAAAATATTGTTTTAGATCATAAAAACTACACTGCTTCTTTTATCTTATTTATATTTTCATGTGAGTATGTTTTGTTGTTCAAATAAAATCTTAATTGTAAGACCCTTGAAAGATTATACCTTTTTTCTTGTTTTGTGCAGTGAACAGTGTACACAGTAAGTGCTAAATCAATTGAGTTAATAAATTAATGAAAGAAGGAGAACAAGAGTAAGGGAAGGAAAGAAGTTTGGCATAATCTTTGTCCATTCTTGTTGGCTTTTGCTGAGTAGTGTTTGGCTGAAGTTGGTCCCCATGCTAAAGGAAATGCCAGGGCCTTACCACATACACGTTGTTCATTGTATTTATAACTATAACTGATACCCTAATGCATAGCAACTAGAACACTGTAGACATACAGAACTCCTAGAAGATCAATATGTCATCAACCCCCACTTGTATTCACTAGATTTGACATACAAGCAAAAAAAAAAAAAAAACCCACAAAAATTAAATCAATTATATGAAATACATTTTTTTAGAAGGAAAAAAAGGTAAATGATTAACTACTGAAAGATTATTTGCTTTGGAGAAAAGGAATATAGAGTTCAAGGATTTCAAGGGTCACAAGCCTCAGAGCTCTGTGGAGTCTCTTGTTTCGAGTGGAACCCCAAGTGTAAAATGCTCTATAATTTCACTCGTTATTAATTGTGCTGGCTGAGCCAACCCCTTTGACCATGTCTTGCCTGCCTAGGAGGGTAGGTACCTATCAAAAATCTAAAATCTGCTTCAGCAACTTACTCTGGACGAATTTCCCTCCTTTGAACTTCTGTAGATCAGGTCTGCCCAGCCCCATCTCAGGGTCATGCTAAGCTGCTTATGCAGCTATATGGTTCATGTGAACAGGCCACCTGGGATTTAACCGGGTATTTTCCTAAGACACTTTCCTCAGATTTGCCTTGCTATAAAGCATATCTCTCTGAAATGTTTTTCTTCACCCCGTCTGAATGCCATCCCCCAATTTGGGCCCAGGGGTTCTGTCTGCCTGGCAGGCAGAGGAAGAAAAGAGAGGAAGAGGAAGGCAAAAACTTATATGAAACTTATATTTTAATTTAAAATAATCCAAAACGTGGGCTAACATTAATATGATTTTGTTAGAGAAGTAAAATTTCTTCCAACTTCATGGTCAGTTTGTATGTGACATTTCAAAAATCTGGAAAATCTTGCGCTTTGGTATCAGTCACAAATATTTACGAAACATTATAGATTCATAAGCAAAATGTTAGAGTGCAAACAACATAGAATCTGTAATCAGAAAATCCATGTTCAAATAAGCGAGCTTTCCTTCTTTCAAACAATTATGGATTTTATTGAACAAATATTAAGCCATCATAAATTACTCTCATAAATTCTAAGGTTAACATCATCAGCATGACAGATGTATATGCAGGGTACCCATCTCATGGAACATAAATTATTCTAAGGAGAGAAGACAATAGAGCAAAAATATATATAATTAGAACTTTAGATAAGCGCTAGGAGAGGAAAACATGTCAGTGTAAGAGAAAACAGTGACAAGGTAGAGAGACCTTATGAGCTTAGGGAAGATCTTTCTGAGTAGGTAACATTTATCATGAGACCTGAAAATTCAAAGGAGTCAATCATGTGAAGCCTGGAAAGGGAACTATAGACAAAGCACAAAGGTCCTAACGTAAAAGAGTTCTTGGCCTATTTGAGGAATAGAAAGAAGGCCAATGCAACTGGAGCTTGAAAGAGAAAGGTAGAATATGAGATCTGAGTAGGCTTCTGTAGCCAGATCTTAGAGATCATTGCTTACATTTTATTGATAAGTGCTTATATTTTATTGGTCCAGTGGAAAACCAGCAAGATATCTAAGGCAGGAAAATTATATGATATGATATGCATTTTTATTGTCACTGGCCACTTTGAGGAGAAAGGATTGGAATGGGACAAGCATGAAAACATGAAGACCAGCTAGTAAAATTGTGATTGTTGTAGTAGCATAGATGAAATATTATGCCGATAGATTCGAGTATTAACAAAGGAGGTAGAGGGAGAGAAGCGATGGGTTGAAGACACAGTTTAAGGGAAAAAAATAGAGCTTCCTGAATGCGTATCTCCTCCATCCCTCTGTCACCACCCCACAATCCATATGATGAAATCCTAACCCCTAGGTGATGATATTAGGAAGTGTACTTTTGGGAGCTGATTAGTTCATGAAAGCAGAGCTGGTCGTGAATGGAATTAGTATCTTTAAAGATCCTCTGCCACTTCCTCCATGTGAGGGCACTGAAAAGATGGCCATCTCTGAAGAGAAGTCTCACTAGACACAGAATCTGTCAGGATCTTAATCTTGGATTTTCCAGCCTCCAGAACTGTGAGAAATAAATTCCTGTTGTTTATAAGCCACCCAGCCTATGGTATTTTGTTATAGCAGTCCTAGTGAACTAATACACTGATGGATTGCTTGTATCAGATTAGAGATAAGGTTGAATCAAAGATGACTACAGGATTTCTGGCTTTAGTAGTGAGGCTAGTGAAGCCATTGACTTACAGAGAAATGTTTGGGGGAGGAACAGATTGGGAGTTGGAGGCTGAGGGAGGAGCAGAAGCAAGTTGGGGTGGAGAGGCAGGAAGAAAGAATTTAATTTCAGAGAAGTTAAATTTGAAATACCAGGAGAGTTGTTCATGTAGAAATTGAATATAGAAGCTTGAACTACGGAGAAAAGTCTGGACTGGAGATATAAATACAGGGAATTTAAAGCAATAGGAATGAATGACATCACCTTTGTCCACATTTCCTACAAAAAAAGGGAAAGCCTACATCTTTTTATATTGAGTTTGTGTATACTAATACCTTACGACTAAAATGGAATGTCAAGTAGCAGAAGTTGTCTTCTATTGCTGTAATACTGGTATTGGGAAAAGCCTGAGAAAAATAGCAAAGCAATTTGGATGAATCCTGGACTAGACCGAAACTGTTAGTAATTTCCAAATTTACATGGACTTAAAATCATTTAAAACTTAAAAATGAAGCTGTGAAAGCTTTGGCTTGACCTATTCTGGATTAGATCAGGACCTGGAGGCCTGCTAAAATAGGAATCAAATTTTAGCATGTCCTGTGATTACATTTCACATTGAAGGGGTTGACTAGAGACTTGTCTACTGAGTTAAGTCCATAAAAGAATTTGAGCTTTTTAGCTAGATTAGAGATTATGAAGCATGGTACTTACTACTTTAAAACCTGAGGTTCTGAAGATCATTATGCATTCAGAGGGTTAAAAGTATATTAATAACCCTGCCAAGGAAAGGAAGTTGTAAAGAAAGCAAAGGACCAACTCAATCAGCAACTTGATTATTATATAATTTATTAACTTTTCAAAATGAAACAGATTAAACAGTTGTAGCAAAAATGTCCTTTTTATGCAAATGGAGAAATTTGGAACTACGTAAAAATTGTCACAAATCTGATTTTATTAGTTGACTTCCAATGTATTGACTCTTCTACCAAATAATTTTGAAAAGAGCCTGTCTTTAGTATGAAATAGCTATACTTTAATTAACAAAAGAAATAGCTTTGAGAG